GCTTAACATGCAGCCACAACCAGCACCTTTAGACTGACATCAAACGATGATCGACAAACACGCGGAGTATTGTACTCTCCCGGTTAGTGTTACTTCGACAAGTTCGTACACCTCAGCCACCTCCAGATACGCTCCACATATCGCAGCCAGCATACCCCAAGGAGGATTGTGTGACCAAATGCGGTAGACTCCGAGAGCTCCACCTGCCACTACTCAGCGACCTCCTCCACCCTCAGGATTCAATCATTGTTATCAGTAATCACCTCAGATCCTGCCGAGTCAAGTCGCCTTTATTCCCCAATTAATTCCTACGACTGCCGACGCTCCTCGGAGGTTTCAAACCATGATGAAGATCACGATGCTCACTTGACCCTCCGATCTTCCGCATCCGATCCGAGGGTGAAAGTGGTCCAAACGCGTTGCTATGTTTAACTCGTGGGTTGAGCGGAGGTGGAATCTGGAGATATCCGTGAAATGCGGATTTTAACTTTGGGGTTTGACTATGATCGGACTTGTGGTTTTTGCATCCACCGATGCCGAAGTTCTGCCACCGCGTCGGCATGGCTAGTGCGTGGCTGAAGAACGTGTTCAAACAAGCGTTCGCTGCTAAGCGGCTGCCCGTCCAGAACGGTTCCACGCGATGCAACGGAACTCATGGCCGCTTGTGTCTCGCCGCTCGTAAGGGCGCGCCAGTCGAGTGGCTGGGCTGCGCATTGCACTTGGAATGTGAGAGTTGTGATTTGGCTGTCTCAATGCGAATGCGAAATCCTATCAATTTGGCTGAGTTCGATGAGCACGTCAATTTTTAACAAGATGTCGCTGTTTTACTACGGTGGAAGATGCGGTCCACTAGCTTAGACATTGTCGCGATGCTTGGCAGCCATCGCGCAGGACGGTTCACCCCACAGCAGCACTGACCATCAGATGACCACCATCCCCATACCTTAAGACCCTTTATCAACGCTATCGCACGGCTGAATGCGAATGCGAAGTCTTTCAATCAGCGCAGGTACGAACTGCAGTTTTCTCTCAACCCTTTCGAATACGGTTTCAATAGCCTACACGGCTACCGAGCTGCCTCAAGAATTCACGCAGTCTACCCCTTACGACAAGGATATACCGCGTAGGCACACGCGCGAGAGCACGCAAGTAGATCCCAAGGGTCCTCCGACATGCAAGCAAACGCAAGGATGCAGCATCACGCACCACCACCACCCCAGCTACCCATAAACTCAAAGAGCCGGAAGAAGCCAAACGAACGCACGAGACAATCCCACTCCCCAAAGTACCCCCCATGCTGCCTCGCATCGAAGACACAAGTTTCCCAGGTTCCAGATTCCCCAAAAACCCGCGTTGGAAGATTAAAGTTGTCCACACCCCAGAACGGACCGAGGGTGAGAACTTTATATGGCGCAATCGCGTGCGTCGTAACGCAACACATCCCTTCCCTTATCACAAGCTTTCCGCTTTCCACCTCGCCGGATTGAGACTGCTGCCAGCCTCGTTACGGGTGCCATCGTGTCTCGAAAAGTAGCGGAACCCCCGCGCCAGGGTCCAGGTGATAACTTTCCTTCGACGGTCCGAAATGGTGAACTTTGATGTATTATCATACGATTTTTGGATTCTGGATCTTGACCTGAGGGGATAGTCTGGGTCTTCCATCGTGAGTGAAGGGCCGACTCGGGGGGCGAATATTGTGGGTGGAAGGGGCAAGGTGAGACGGTCTTTTGGGGTGGCGTGAGGTGGGGGTGGACCGGTGGAGGTGGGTTGTACATGTATGAAGATGTTTCGGTGTAGAGGGTCATGTGGAGAAATGTGGTATCGTGAAAGTAAGGGTTTGTACAGATGTAGCATGGGCAAGGGAGATGCTTGTGCCTGAGGCCTCGTCACTGGGATGCGGCCTGTGGACGTAGAAGAGTTACTCTCGGTGTATATGGTGTGAATGTCAAGGAGCCTCTCTTCTCGATAGTTTGTGTGAGCTGTTATGAGAGTTGTGGCAGAAGGGCTGGACAAAAGGTCAGTGTTGTTCAGATGTGATGGTGTGGAACAAAAGCGCTTGCTCGGGAGATGTTGTGATGGTACACTTTGTACCACGCGGGCTTTTGGAGTGAACATCTGCATGTCATGTCTTGCATAGATGCTTGTTGCGAGCGACGCGATTGATCTTTCTTACGTAGACCGGGTCGAACAAAGTATATGTCTACGCAATAAGTTTGATAGTCATCACGTACCGACATTTTTCAGCATCAACGATAATCTTAGATACATTTACAGTGTCAAAATATATACATCTTCAACCCCTCTTTACAACGACTCTACTTCCTCACCAACCCAGCTCACCAGCAAGAGCCTTGGTCAGAAGCTCCGCCATCTCCGCATGTGTCGCAGCATTGGGATGGTAATCACAAGCAACGTCTGAGCCCTGCGATGGCATATCCACCAGACTGATCTTCGTGCTGTTCTTAAGTTGCGCAATCGCAGCGTTCAATGCATTCGTCTGCGTAGTCTTCTGTGCCTGACCTGCAGGATACCCGTCGCCAAGCATAGGCGATGTCAGAAGGAAGAAAGCAGCATTTGGGTAGTGTGTCTTGATTGTCTTGACAAAGTTGACCATTGCAGCGGTGTATTCTGCTGGAACAATCGGGTCGCGGACGCCGGCTTGATAGCCAAAGTCGTTGGTACCAAGATTGATGACTACAGCATCTGGTGTGGCGTTTGCGGGAAACGTGTAGCTGTTCAGCGGATCGAGAGCGCCATATCTAGTCCAGCGTTGAGGCATGATGTCGCTTGGATCGGGGGTGGGAGAGACGTAGTTTCTCGTCAGACCGATGCCGCTCCAGGCGATGATATCGTAGTCGGCATCTAATGCGTCGGCAGCCAGGGCGGCGTAGGTCTTGGGATTGTTCTCCACAGCGGCGCTGTTCACACATGGGTTGACGCCGTCGAGGCCGTAGCCCACAGTGATGGAATCCCCGATGACTTGGATCTTGCGCGAGGCGTACATGTCTGGACCGAAGGTGCCGTCCGTTGTTACGTTGCCAATGGTTATGGTGCCATATGAAGCTTCTGATCGTTTCCGCAGTTCCACCGTGTGTTTGCCGTTACCGAGGTCAGCGGGCGTTTCGATGGAGGTACCATTAACCTCAGGAATGACAGTCGCTTTGCCATCTATGGTCAATTGAGCACTGTTGGTGCCGCTTGTGCCTTCGATGCCGATGCTAGCGGAGGAACCGGTGAAGGTGAAGGATACGCCGGTTCCAGGCCATGTCAACTCTTGCGTGTCCGGATTCACACGTCCGAGAAACCGAACGGCCGTGACTTTGTCGATGGCTGCTAGCAGTACGAGAGGGGATACGGAAAGCTTCATGATGAAATTTGATGGTTTGAAAGATGCGCAGCGCGTCGTGGCACTGAGACTACCCACGCATTTATACTGTGCAACATTGTACTTAGTATCGAGGCTAACACGGAGGACCGTTACTAATCTCGTAGAATAGTAAACAAGTTCCGCAGTGACCTGAATCGTGGCCTCAGAATAAATTGCACAGGACGAGAAAACCGGGTAGCCTTTGGAGAACTCCGCGATCTTTCTACAGCCACGATGCTACTGCATGTTGTGTAGCCATAATTGGCCAAGCATTTACTTTGCGATATTGCGCATGACACTAGAATAGTGTGGTAGTCGTAAATTTGAGAAGATGCGGGGGTGCAGCCGTGGGTATGTGGCAAGATGACCGTTGCGATGACGATCGCGGACCTGGTAAATGATGCACTAAACTGAAATGGGAATGGCGCGGAAGACATAAATTCCACGAACGAAGGCTGTTCCCGTCCTTTAGTCCGAGGATATAGCTAATTGGATGGAGAACGGACCTTCTGGCGCGTAATGTCAATCAGGGTTGCAAGAGATGAAGGAAAAGCTCGGAATCTTGATCGCGCGCTGGAGTATGCTTGCTCGGTGTTCCATCGTCGGACGAAACATCGGCATCACTGTGGCACGGGAAGCAAGATTGACAACAGAGCATAGTATTCTCAAGATAAGAGCTACACCAACGAAGTCTGCTCCCAAATCCCTCAAGGCGACGTTTCCAACCACATGGACCTCAAATCGCGACGATTAACATCCAGCCCATGAACCCCGGGGATCATTTACTTCTCGCGCAGTCGCTCCTGCTACTAATGGTATGTACGCATCGGACAAGACGATGCGCGGGCGTTGACACGGTCTTTCAGTTCCTGAATCTCGGTGTGTTGTAGATTCCAAGGACACGAGACAGGGAACCGAGCTTGACCTGTGCGACGCCGTAGGCATAACGATAGGATATGGATGAATGCGAAACGATAAGGAGCAGAGCCCTCAGATCTGGAACTGACTGGAGCAGATGCATGGCTAGAACGAGGATATGGAGAACAGTCGCTGAATGCCGATAAATAATGGAGTTGTTGAGAATGAAGGTAAAGATGCGAAAGTGTGCGGCCCGAGGTAATAATGACTGTGTAGAGGTCGTTGAAGTACCACTTGAAGTTAGGGTATCGATGGATGAAAGACGATAGGAATATAGCCTCGACACCCTGGATAATAGCAATGAGCCGCGCGCGCCCTTGTTCAAGAGTCCAAGAGCTTGGAAAATGATTGGAGTCAAGTGCGCGGAACAGATATTTGAGCGCGTCTTCTCCGTTGCTGTTGGAGTTCTGACGGGTAATCTTGAACTCTTGTTAGCATGACATCGGGTGGCTTAGCAAGAAAGACCAACAATGTGAGCGTTTGCGAGGGCGTAGTAATGGTATTATTGATATGTCATAAGAATGTCGTTGAATGATGGCGATGATGATAGGAAGGAATAGCTCATGACGAGAATGAGGACCTTCCTGGAGGAAGGATATCAAGAATATGGCAATACGGTGGCACGACGCTGGAATAATGAAGTTAGTTCTGGATAGTTAGATACCTAGTTATCGAATGAGACGTACCTCGAGTGTCGCGGATGAGACAAGGGGTATCAGCGCAGCGATAGCGCCTGTTGCGCTGCCTGTTGCGCTGCCTGTTGTTGCGCCATCTGCTGCTCGCGCACCTTCTGCATCTCCAACTGTTGAGGATACATGTGTCGAAAAATGAGGATGAATAACGTAGAGATGCCGTAATGATACTAAGAAACAGTCAGTAGGGCATCGTGAAGCCACAGAGAAAGAGACATACAGTGGTAACGATGTTGCCGAAAATGCACTGGAAGAATCGGAAATTCTCGATGGCGTTGTCGCCGAGCAGAGCGTTGCTGCACTGCGAGTATCTGACTTCCTCTAGGGTAGTGTTGCCTATGGAGGGATGAATAAGGTAGAGATGCCGTAATAATACTAAGAAACAGTTAGCATAGCACAGAGAAGTTGTAGGGTCGGATGCATACGGTTGTGGCAATGTTTCCGATAAGAGCGATGTTGCATTGTGGATACATGAACTCCTCGAGGAAAGTGTTATCGATCATGGATTGAACTCGTAGCTGCGTCAAACCGTGGTGTTCTTGTAGAAGCCTTCGATCGTGGCAGGATAAGAGCTGGCGAGAGAACAATGGAGATATCGATAGACTGGATAAGAATGTGCGAGATATGGCGGTATGAATGTTGCAATGATACTAACGAACAGTTAGTATGACATGAAGATCTTCTGGGGTCAGATACATACTGTCGTAGCGATGTCGCCAATGATATACTGGTACGAGACCAACGCGCTTGTCCGACTGCGAAGAGGCACAGTGGTTGCACTTGACCTTGGCGTAGCAGCGCTTGCCTTGGTAGTTTTCCTTGGTATGGCTATACTTGCCACAACGAAGACAGAAGAGGTCGCTGCCCCAGCCCCAATCTTGCGTCTGGCCAAGCGACTCGAGGCAGAGCCCGCTTTGTACTTGCTGTACTTCTGGGGCTTGCTGAATACGATGAGGCTGTGCTGTGCGTGTTCTCGTCCGTAACGATGGAGTGATGAAGATGTGGTGACGATATGATAAGGATACCGATAGAGTGTTGAGATATCGATAGTGGGTATGGATGAGAGTTGGAAGCGATATATGATGATAGAATTGAGGATGGTTGAGAACGAAGAAGAATGTGTCATACTCCAAAAGAGTGGTGTGGAAGAGATGTGATAGAGGAAGCATGGAGGAAGAATGGGGGCAGGTAAATAAACAAACAAAGAACACAACGATATATGTGAGGAGCGAACTTGTAGCGTGCCTGACATGTGCTACAGAGACACACGTATGCACGAGAAGCAGCATATGGCCATTGATCGTCAGTAACGACTCAAACCAGCAACTTGCTGTGCAGGCGCCACGGGACGACAAGTCCTCACCAACACACTCAGAAAGAAGTTCACGATACCTAAAGTCAAGATCTGAGTCGTAAAATCATCAATTGAACCCGAACGAAAGCACCAGTCTCTCCCTCAATCCTTTTTCAAGCCCCTCCTAAACCTCTGGAACTCTCAATCCCCATCTCCCAAATCCACATTTTCTACAACACCTTGAAGCAAACATAGCTCAAGAACTTATCGTTCAAATCACCCTTGTCCGTACTCCTCAAATCCGCATTACCAGGCCAGCTCAAGCTGAGGAAATCTGATTCAACGCCAGGAGTCTTGCGGCAAGAGTTGTTGCTGTTAAGAAAAATATTAGCTAAGAACCCGAGCAGAAGAATTGTTAGTACATACGTGAAGAACTCGCACAAGAACCCCGGATCCGGCCCGATGGATGATTCCCTGCCAGAAAGTTGTGCGCAGTCAATGTCTGAGCCTCCTGGTTTGGTGTAATGGTGCGAACATGCGCCGTTCCAGTTGATGTCGTCGCAGACGTAGACGCCGGCCACATCTTCAGGCACAGGAGACACGGAAGCTGATGGCGCTTCTGGCAACGGCGTAGACAACGTCGCTGTTACGGTGACCATGGTGGTCGTCATGACGATGTCTGATGCTCTAGGAACAGGAGTCGGAGCCGGGGCGGGCGCAGCGGAAGAGCTCTCGGCGTCGCCTCCAGCGCCTAATAAGTCTCCTAGGCCGCCCAGAGGACCGCCTCCGCCCAGAACATCGCCTCCACCTAAAACATCGCCGAGGGGGAGGCCTTGTCGCTTTGCAGGTGGATGTGCAGATTCTGGTACGTATTCTGAGGGGATGAAAGGATGACCTGGGCTCGGGGGAAGACTTGCAGCAAGAGTGGTGCTGGTTATGAAAAGGGTGGTGAGGATGGATGTATACATGATGATCGATTTGCTACTGTCGAAGTAGAAAGATTTGATAGGACTGGAATGTGAATAGGCCGCACGTTGTCTACAGAAACTATAGAGATTTCCGGTCTACTTGTACTTCTCGTGAGTTGTACGTCTCGTGGAGGTGAGAGCATCTTTCTTCCCAAAGCAATATGAGACGGCAATTTCTTTTTCTGTGTATCAACTGTCACGACACTTGCTCTCTACCGGCTCCGTGAGACTCGGCGGGTAGAGTTGTGTAACAAAATGCCCGGTTGCACTGATCACCTGCAGTACGCGACCAGGCTGCACGTAGGCTGCGTGCATCCCTTCGAGGACTTCTGCGGAAACGTAGTCTTCAAAAGTGCGGGTGGTGACTGGGAGGCGCTCGATTATGTGCGCATGAGAGATGCATGTCGACTGAAACGCAACGGCAGTGCTGATTCAAGTCGAGTACAGTTGAGCACTTGAGTGCGCATTGTTGATGAAGTGCCGTTTCTGGCACTGGCCCGCTGCGTCGCGGCAACGTCTTTCGCAAGGTGCAACAGCCGGCGGATGGAACGGTGGACGCGTAAACAGTCGACTTACTCTATTCTGATAGTAGACAATAATTGGGTACAAGAATACTGACAAGTCCCTCCCGAGTGGTGGTATCACATGCGCTCCAATAACGCGACCAAACAAAGCGCTGTAACGCTAACAAGACGCCGCCGCAATGTCCCATGCCCAAGCCATGGAGATCGTGTAGACACTGGATGGAGTGGGGGACGGGTATATGAACGAGAACGGGTAATCAAAGCGATCTAAGATATCCCTGAGAGCGAGTGTACTAAGCCCCTGATCTCTCGGGTGCTTCTGGTCGGTCCGGCTCGTAGTTCGTCTCGCCGAGTGACTCGGTAGGTCCAGAGACAGAAGGCGCTGACGGAGCAGCGGCACTGGGGCCCCGAGACGCTGCTGCGTTTAGGCGCTGGTTCAGAGCTTCTAGAGCGAGAGCACGTCTCCTCTCCGCCTCAGCACGTGTGGCTCCTCCTCGACCACCCTTGCTGTTGGGGTTCATGATGCTGGGTAAGCCCCCTTCAGCCCGGGCGCTCGCCTGTTCGTTGCCTGCATCAATATCCTGATCTGAGAAGGGTATGCACACTTTGAGCGATACGAGTGTGTTGTAGATGCCGTCGGAGAGGGCACCAACGGGTGTTTGTATGGGCTCCGGGAAGAAGTGGGCAAACGAGAAGGTATCTGAGGCGTCGCCGCGGATGACAGAGCCGTCGCCAGTTGCGGTAGACGATAGTGATGGGCTTATGCGGTAGAAGCGGAGGTAGATCCAGGCAGTGAAGAAGCCGAAATAGGCCAAGAACATGGCCGTCTCCGTACCCAGTATTATGCCGGAAATAGTGTTGGTGAGGAGGAAGATGGCAGGGAAGTGCTTGACGCGCATGCGGATGAGGCCCTTTGCGATGGCAACGGTGTGTTCGGGGACGAGCTGCTTGAAGGAGACGAGGAAGCCGGCTTGGATGGCAATGCCGCCAGAGATGGTCGTGCGCCTATGCTTGGTCAGTACAGTGTATGGGACGAAGGCCGAGTACGCACATCAGAGAGGTCTTGCCCATGACCAGGTAGCCGACGATGTAGAGCAGATAGGCGAGCATGTTGGGTATCATGGCCACGAAGAGCATGAACTTGGTGAACTCGTGAGACCCCCACGCTCTTTCCAGGTAGCGTCCGCCGTAGAAGACGGTGAGTCCGGTGGTGATGAGGCCGAGGAGGTTCTGCTCCACCACCGTCGCCAGCGCGAAGACCCAAGGATACCACGGCACCGAATAGCGGGGGACGATGGTAAGCCACGGGACGCCGTTTCCCACGCCGATGATTGGCTTCTCGATCTTTTCCACCAGGTTGGCGTTGGGTCGCAGTGCGAAATTTACCAGCGTAAAGAATACGACGGCCGCCAGCACGCCGCGAGTGAGCGGGGGCAGGTTGATGCGCGCCATGGTGGGGAGAATGCAGCGTCTGGAGGCGGGAGGCGAGGCAGTCGGGCGTCCTTCACGTATCGGCCCGGGTAGGTCCAGACGGGCGGTGGAGGTGTCTTTGGTGAATTGAGCATGCAGGCGTGGGAGCGTCTGCATGTGTCGACGGCAGGGATCATGAACGACGCTCGGACGGAGATCCTGTGGGGACTAGCGGCCGCCAGAGTGCTGAGTAGTTGCAGGTAGCCTTCGATCCTCCTACCAGCTCGACGACGACACCCACCACGAATCGCGCACCCAGCACGCCCCGTCTATCACCGACCCTACGCACTCAGCTCCCCGGCGCATGCAGCGCGTACAGGATGCGCCATGGCGGAGACTCTCAGCAGCAACGCGATGAACTATCTCGGTACACGTCCCCAGCCCACGCCTCTGTTGGCCTGCATGACTGACGTCTAGGTGCAGTATGGCGATATCTTCAGGAGGCCGGATTCGGTAATGCCGCCCTGCAACTCTCGCGATGCTGGATCCGCGACCCCGACACGCTGCCCTTTGCGAAGAACATCGAGCAGCACGCTCTCATCAGGCTCGTCCAGGACGGGCTGTGCTTCGACCAGCTGCAGGCCGAGGCTTGCAATGTACGTCGCATACACGCGCGCGGGAAGCTGGTACTGACGAGCGCAGACGGAGCCGCGCTACAAGTTCGGCAGCGACCACGGACGACCCTATTCGGCGCGCAATGGCAACCTCTTGACCCTCGACAAGGGCATTCCCGCACACGAACTCGCCGCCGAGGCCAACGGCGCTGTCCAAGAACCCCCGCCCAAGAAGACGCTCAAGCGCAAGAAGACGAAGCCCACGAATGGCGTCGAGCCGCGCCCCGAGCCCCAGGTCAACGGCGATGCCATGGACATCGAGCACAACGGCACCACCCATGTGACCAACAGCGTGCGAGCCGAGTCGGAGCCCATGGTCTCGGAAGCCGAGTCGCCCTCGCTTGCTGATATCCCCATATCCACGCTCAGCATCGGCCAGGACGCTGAGATCCAGACCGAGGCCATCGCTGTGGCTGATCTCACTCCCGGCATCGTCTCCATCCCTCCCCCTTCAGACCCTGCCTGCCTTATCGAGCACACACTATGGGGGCCCATAGACTCCCCTGTACTGCTCGCAGCCGGCAAATCCCTCCTCCAAGTTCACGTTGTGAGCAAAGACCCTGGCCATGAACCCCCCACCCAGCATTTCGACATACCCTTACCCGTCGACAACTTCGACGTCACCGCCCTGTGCTGGCATTCCGACAACGAACTCACCGTCTCTGTGCGCGAACAGCGATCCAACGAAGTCGGCGAGAAGATGATGATGGACAAGCTCATCAAGCTGACCGAAGGCGGCCAGGCCTCGCAGGTCATCTCCTCCACTGCCGGCCTCATCAACACGCTTCGCTGGAACCCCGAACGAAACCTGCTGCTCTCGATATCAACAGACGGCGAGAAGGGCTCCATCAAGGTGTGGAAGAACGATAGCGACTCTATACCCGCATGGACCGAATTCACCGACACGGCCATATTCGACGCCCACTGGATAAGCGACTCTGCTTTTGTCGTTTGTGGTATCAAGCTCTTCAAGATCTACCAAGTCAACGACTCCTTGACTACCCAGCAAACCCTCGATACTTCAGTAACATGGGAGACAGTCAAATACGACGCCGCGTCTAGGATCATCGCCGTGCTGGGTATCGAAGACAGGAAGTACTATCTTGGCATCCTCCACCCCAACGACTCGATACAACTACAGGTCCACGAATATCCTGATGAGTACCCCACCGATCTCAGCTTCCGCGTAAAATCAAAGACCAGCCACCTTACGAACGGTTCTTCGCTGCCCTCTGTTCTGCTTGCAACGAGCTCCATGGCTGGTGCAACGCGCATCTGGGACGCAAACGAACCTTTCAAATGCGTCAAATATCTACCTACCACGGATGGTACGCAGGCCTTTAAGATTGCTTTCTCTCCAGACGGGTCGCTCTTAGCTGCTGCAGGCCCCGATGCCGTCACTGTTTGGGATGTAGAAAAGAGAGATGTACCAATTGCCTCGTGGCGCGCCAGTGAAACTCCCAGCGACAAATGGAACCCGGCCATAGACGGAGAGTACAGTCTTGGTTGGGAGCCAGATAGTTCTAGGTTATCTATCGCTCTTGGAAATCAGGTATGCAAAATGCGAAGAGAAGATTTCCAATTGCTTACACTACTACAGATTGCTATCGTCACGGTTCCGAGGTAGTACCGGGGATCGTCTATGGAACAAACTCAATTGCAGCTCTGCGGTACAACTATCGCGCCGCTCATCGCAGGGGTTTCTCAGCTGTATTGCACAGGACGGATAGAAAACTATCCAGAGCCGAACGCGCAAGTCTTCACGGGGACATTCCGCGAAGTCACTAAGAGCGCGTTGCGGGATGCAGCGGGACGCATGTGGAGGTCCGGGGTGGCGCCTCGGCCGACACAGATGCGGAGGCTGTCGCGCTCTGATAGGCTAAGCCTAGCGGTGGAACCCCAGGCCGTCTGCTGAATCCGACTGGTAACTCGACGTCTCGCTAACGCTCCGCCTACTGCTTCGGCACTTGTATCATACGGCCAACCCTGACGATGGTGAGGGGTGTAGGTGGCCGTACTTATAACGGTTCTCTGTCGCCATTTTGCGGCCAACATCATCTGGATCGTTTCTGTCATACTCTAT